CCAGTTCCCAAGGGTTCATAGCGGAGGCTTTGTGCTCTCGGGTGGTACCGTGGGGAACCCGGCGGTCGCCCCCGTTGGGGCTCCCCTGGAGGTTGAATGTTCACCGGCCGAAAAATCGCCGAAAAAGGCCGCAGAACCATCCTCTAAGGTTTCATTGGGATGTGAAAGTGGTACCAGAAGGACCCGATCAAAACGCATCGCGCAAAAATCGGCCGGCAATCATGCAATCGAGGTATTTATGGGGGGATTAGGCATCGGTGCCGAGTCCAGCGGCTGCGAAGCCCCCTTAAGCCTCTGGAGCCCCGTAAGCCGCGCCACAATGGCCCCTTAATCCCCGCAAAAGCGTGCAATTCTCTAATCAGCTCGGGCAGGCGTGACCGAATCGTGACCATAAAAAGCGTGAGCCTGCACGGTTCTGGTCATCAAATTGTTGGTTGAGTTTCTTTTGTGGGCGCATCCACCATACTGGCCAGAGGGGGGTGGTGGTTGAAAGGTCGGAACTGTTGACTAGTTGAGGCAGTTGTGTTTTGCCCCGCCAGGCGAGTTTTTGCATGGGGCGCATTCGCCATTTCGTCTGCCAGTGGGGCCCCGGGGCCCACAGTGGTAGACGAAGGACTCAGCCAATGCCAACTGCACACGCCACCAACAGGCCAATTAACACGCAAAGGCAAATAAGTGTTAATCAATTGTTTTTCCTATTCGCACAAGCAGCTTTGATTAGAAGCCCATAGTTTGTGCAGCGATTAGATCGTGGTGCAAAACAGCAAAACCGGTAGGTTCCAGGCGGCAGTCGATGGAACCGATCACGTGGAAGCAGGTGCTGCCCCAAGTGGTGGCCACGTTGCTCGGTAAGTAGTGGAGGGGGGCGTAGGCCCCAGAGGCGCCCAGCGACTGAAGGCGCCCCCTGCTTGTAGGCACCCAGATGGCCGTCTCCGACGGGATGACGTACGGCTGGACGTCCCCCATGATCCCCTACCTGCAGAGCAACGCCTCCCACATCCCCGACGTGAGCGCCGCCGCCACCGATTGGCTGGAGACGATCGTGCTGATGGGGGCGGTCACCGGCCTCCCGTTCACCATCCTGGGCGTGAACCGCCTGGGGCGGCGCAAGTGCATGATCCTGTCGGCGCTGATTGGCTGCGCCTGCTGGACGGCGCTGCTCGCCACCAGCAGCCTGGCGGCGGTGTTCGCCGCCCGCTTCTTCAGCGGCATGGCGGGCGACATGTGCTTCGTCGCCGCCCCCATGTACATTGCCGAGATCGCCGACCATCGCATCCGCGGCTTTCTGTCGGCCATGATCTACCTGATGATGCTGGTGGGGATGCTGCTGGTCTACACGGTGGGGGCGCTCGCCCCCTACGCGTGGGTGCCGATCATCGGGATCGGGCTGACCGCCTGCCAGGTGTGCCTGTTTCCGCTCATGCCCGAGTCGCCCTACTATCTGGTGTATGTGGGGCGGGACGAGGAGGCGCGCCGCAGTCTCRRGCGGCTGAGGGGCGGCGCCGCCCCCGTGGACGCCGAGATGCTGGAGATCCAGGAGGCGGTGCGCCGCCAGCGGCTGGAGACGGGGCGGCTGCAGGACCTGCTGCTGATCGACAGCAACCGCAAGGCGCTGCTGATCATGCTGATCCTCAACGGGATGCAGCACTTCGTCGGCATCAGTGTGATCTTCATGAACCTGCACGTGATCCTGAATGAGGCCGGCTCGGCCTACTTGCCCACATCGACCGCCGCCATCGTGTTCGCCGTCATCATGCTGGGCGCCGCCACGATCGCGTCGGCCGTCATTGACAAGTTTGGCAGGAAGGTGCTGCTCGAGCTCTCCAGCCTCCTCACCGGGCTCGTGCTCGTCGTCATCGCCATCTATTTCCACTTGAAGAACCTGCACTATGACGTGGTGGCGGTCAGCTGGATCCCGGCAGGGGGCGTGATGGTCTACGCGGCCACCTTCAAGATCGGCCTCGGATTGGTGCCGATCGTGGTGACGGCCGAGATCTTCCCCACCACCATCAAGGCGATCGGGATGACCATCGCCGACGTCATCTACGTGCTGGCGTCGATCATCTCGATTTTCGTCTACAGCGCCCTCTTTCGCACGTTTGGCATGCACGCGCCCTTCTACCTGTTCGCCGTCAGCAGCCTGTGCACCACTGGGTTTGTGCACTTTTTCGTGCCCGAAACCAAGGGGAAGACGCTGGACGAGATCCAGCTGATGCTGAAGGGCCACAAGCCCGCCGAAGTCGCCACGGTTAATAAATATTGATAAATTTGGGACGTTTTGCTGCTATTGGCAATGCCGCGCGGCGGCAACGCCGCCCACCACCCCCCTCTGCGCTAGCGCCAGCCGGCCCGAGATGGCGCCATGGGCTGCGCACGGAAAACCCCCCGATTATCCCTCTGTGAGTAGTGAGGGGGCCGTGCGGCCCCCCTGGGGCGCCAGCCACCCTCCCCAACTACTCGCAAAAAGCGCTCCCTGGGGGGCCGGCCCCCCAGGGGCCCCTGCCTGTCCAAAGCAGCCGGGCGGAGCCGCCGGCTTT